TATCTATCTATCTATCTATCTATCTATCTATCTATCTATCTATCTATCTATCTATCTATCTATCTATCTATCTATCTATCTATCTATCTATCTATCTAATCTTTCTTTCTTTCTTTCTTTCTTTCTTTCTTTCTTTCTTTCTTTCTTTCGATTAATCGTAGTTGATTGTAGTTGTCGTCTTCTTAAAACTGTTGTCGTCCGTTCTCATCTAGTTTTTACAATGATAAATGCGCTATTTTGAAAACAGGACTCGTTCCGTTTTATTTCATTTTTCTATTCCATTACATTCTTTTTTCTTTAACGTGCTAGACCAACGTTTGCTTTTAATGGGTCGACAGTCTTTTGTTTAGGAATTTTTTTTCAAATTGACTTTCAGGTAGCTTCCTCTTATTTTTTCTACTTTTCTTTCTTCTTGTAAACGTTACGCCTTTTTTTTTTTATATCTACTTTTTATGTGTACGTAAAAAAAAGTATTGGGAATTGAAATATTACCTCACGTGTCTCTTTCTTTCCTTTTCTTTTTTTTCTTCTTTTTCTTCTTTTTTTCCCGTGTATTATTTTTTATAATTTCATTTTAAATATCTTAATATTTTTCAGTAATTATGAAAATACCATTAATCTTGAATTGAATAATTTTTTCTTCAACTTAATCAATGTATTAAACTTATTTTGATTTTTAATTAACGTGCCTGTTGTTTTTTTATACACCTTATATATATAACTTAGTAATTATAGATAAAAATATTAAATAATAAATGAACATATTGTTACATAATTTTAGAGAAATGAATTTCTCCGTCTACTGTTTATTGAAAAACCTTGTTACACTCGAGCTTAATCATAAATATCATGAGATAGTCGATGTAGTGCTATATTTACAAATAAAACCTAATTAAATCGTTAATCCCATGAATCCTGATTTCTTCTAATAGAAAATTTTTTAATGAAAAAAAGAGTATTTGTCAAACGGAAGGAGATTTATTTATTCTTTAGGATAGAAGGTTATAGAGGGAATTTTACACACTATTTCTCGCATACTAAAGCACATGCTAGTGTGTGTTTTAAAAAACGACCAGGAGGGGAAATTAATATTTCGCGTCTAATATACAAAATTCTATTGAAAAAAAAATCAGTTGAATAATTGTGCGCGTTTATTATTACCTTTTTAGGCATTATTATTATTATTATTATTATTATTATTATTATTATTATTATTATTATTATTATTATTATTATTATTATTATTATTATTATTATTATTATT